CATGAGAATTTAAAGTATGACTCCAAAATGCTAGATGGGTAAATAATAGGTCAAAGATATTTGAAGTTGATATTTTGTTTTAACCATGACTTATGAAAAATGAAAGAAGATATGGTAGTTACTTGTGTGGCTCCTAGATTGCTTGGTTTGATGCTGAAATGTGAATGGAGAAATGAATCATAAGTAAAGACAAAAGATTGCCAAAGCAATAGACAACCAATGTTATTACTCATTAGACAAAAGTTGTGACTAGAAAACAAAGATGTTATCTACAATAAAAATCCATGCCCATGACCATATATATCTCATATACTTTTTATTTAGTCTCTTTATTTGATTTTTTACTAACAAATGCTTAAGAGGCTATTAGAGTTATGCATGATAATTGTAGCTAGCTTTGCCCCAGACAAAGATGGAATAGCTAGGATTATCGCTTCTTGAAGATTGTACTTAAGGATTTAGTTTTATTTGTCCTTTTGCAATAGGTCATAGCTAGGCTTATCACATCTTTTGATCTTCTTTGTTATCAGCGAGAGTAATTTTTTTAAAGTAAAATATCAATAAAATGAGTCTTTTTTTTTGGTAAAAAAAAAAAAAGCAAATTAAGACATTACACATTATGTCCATGCAATTTAAATTTTTTTAGCAGATTTCTTTGAAATCTTTCCTTACAATTTTTTTTAACTTATCACTTAATTTTCTTAATATTTTCATGTAATACTTGTTAGTTTCAAACACCTCCTGTGATATGTCAATTATTTGTTTGTGTTGAGTTGGTATTGTTTTTAATTATGTATAATAATGATTCAAGATTGTTATACAGTAATTTTTAGCAAGATTTTTAGCAAATCAATATATCTAAAGGTTTGACGTATGAAACAATTGTGTTTAAATGCTTCATTGACATGCTATAAGCTAAACATAATACCATTGCTATATTTTCTCTAGAGCTCAATTCATTATACTGTTTTATTTTTGTAACCATGTTTGTTATATTTTTAAAATTTTTAAAATGAATTTTTTATTTCACATTATATCATTTGTACTATAAAATTACCTAAATCATCTCCTCAAATTAACCGTAAATTCATAAACCATCATGATAATTAGAGGTTAACTATCGTAATTACCTTATTATGCTAGAAAATATATTAATTACAATTAAGAAAAAGTTAACCATAATAAAAAAAAAGAAAATACTTGGGTTAAATGTCTACTATGATTAATAAAATTAAGTTTATAATTTGAGGATACAAAATGAGTATTAATAAGTAAAATCGATCATAGAAAGGAGGATTAAAGTCATTTATTACTAGTATACTATAAAAGATTTAAACCTGTTTTTAAACAATCAAAACAGATAATCAAATAATAGCATCCCAAGTAATTAATAAATTTCAAGCATAAAAAGGCTTGCTTAATCACAAATCAAAGTTTTTAAATATTTAAAAGTATGAATACCCAATTGGAGTAAACAGGGTCAATGCAAGTAATAAATGCAATCAATTTTCACAAATAATATGCATTAGTACAAGTAAACCAAAATAATTATCCTAGTTAATAATTAATCATTATAAATTACATATATGAACTAAAAGAAAGAGGCATACTATAAAATATTTGATAAGGTATTAAAATTAGGAAGAAATTAATTGATTCCTTGAACCTCCATGTCATTATCCCCAAATCTAATTAATTGCTTGTCCTTATCAAGTACTATTTCCAAATAAAATTATGCCTGGGTAGAATGACATGGAGGTTCAAGGAATCAATTAGTTCCACTAAAATATAAGTGTCAAATATTAGGAATTTATAAAAAAAATTTCTATGCCTCAAGCGCCTTCTCTTTAGTCTTCCCAAAGCTAGTGCCTGGAATATAAAAAATAAGGATAAGTATAAATACTCAATAACCAAATTAAACCCTAAATCACTCATACGCAAGTCAAATCAATTAAAGCATGCAAAGTGGCATATAAAACTACTCAAGCATAAAATCCAATATCATATCACATGTTATCATAAATGAGTGATCAACGACTATTTATCTCCTTTATATACTACTAGCCCAACCTATGGGCTGACAAATCAATATTTAATAAGGTCAGGGTCATGTGAATAAACTTCGAACTCATCAATTGTAAGAAGCTACATAACTAAAGGTGCTATACTAACTCTTGAACCATGGATTTCTCCAATTCTTGAATTCATTAGAGTGTTGCAAGTCCCACCATTCACCTAGTCTAAGGCAAGGTTAAGGACAGGATCTAAGCAACCTATGTTTGCACCTATTTCTAAGTGAGATTCAAGAAGACCATACTCAAGAATCAATTACCAAGGCCACCCATAGTGTTGGCTATATTCTATATAAAAAATAAAGTACCACTCTCCTATAGCAACCTCCCGCTCAATATATGATCATGTAGCCATGCATAGGCATCACTGTGCATACTCATATGCCATAGCATAATTAAACTATCACAAGGATGCGTACATTATCTCAAAAATCTCATAATTCCTAAAAAAATGAATTCTCAATTTCAATAATATAAGAACTTTTATAAAAAAATAAACTCGTGTCATGCAATATAAAAAGGCCACGCATGCACATCATTTTCTAAAATCGTACAAATATAAAATTAAGCTTGAAAAGCATAATTATCGAGTTTAAAATCAACCATAACTAGTCTAACAAGCATTAGCACAAAATAAAATTCTCCTGCTTACTTCAAACCTTGAGAAATCAAAGGCTACCCTTGTCAACTCTCTTTCGAAGCTTGCAATGAGCTCAACTGATATGCCACAAAGTTTATCCACAATTAAAAAATTATCATAATCATTAATGATTAACTTAAACACCAATTTTAACTCTTAAATTAACACTTTAATAGCCTAACTTCCTAACTTCAAGCTTAGCTTCACAACTAAAGAGTTAATTAACTCCCACTAACTCCATTTAGTTGATACCAGTTTAAATAACAACTAGCACATCATCCATCAAGCTGAAATCTTACTTAAAGTGGTTAGGGTTTGTCCAAAACTCTAAACCCAAATTCATAACATTGTAAAATTTTTAAAACTAGATTTACATATATCAAATAACTCTTATTAATCCCAACAAAACCAATGGATTCGAACCTATTGCCATGAGGTTTGAAATCATCACCCCTAAAGAGAAAACAAGGTTGAAAACACGTGAATAAAGAGAGAGATGAGAGGGAAAATGAATATATTGGAGTCTTGAAGCTTAAACATTCTTAAAAATGATCTTGGAAGCTTGCCTTAACAAACCCACAAGTTCTCATGTCACCCTCCCTTTGATATATAGATATAGATATATATAGATATATATATATATATATATATATCATATATATTTCTCCCTGTTCTACAACTCAAATGCGAGCGGCAGGTTTTAAAGACCATCCACCATAGCATAAGCTCCATTCATCGCGATTGATGGCACATATGGCCCAACCCAAAAATTTATTCTTCCTCTCAAGCCTAGTTGACCAAATATGCCTCCAAATTGGATTTAAAGGCTGAAACCAACTCAAAAGGCTCACTAACCGTCACTAACCATCTTTAAATTAATAAACGCCTAAATTTACTTAATCAACCTTGATTAATTCACTTAATTTAAGGATTAAAAATTTAAGATGTTACATATAGCATGTTCATGTTTTTTAAAGTATAGCCGCTTTTGGACAACTTATTTTAAATTTTAAAATAACTTCTTATGCATGTAATTTGCATTTTGGTATGATATCAAAACTATGTAGACATTGTCCTATAATTACGTGTGCAGGACTACTCGCATAATATATTTTGTAATTATTTTGAATGTTTGGTTTTTTATTACTTATATTCTAATTAGAATGTAATTTAGTAAAAGTTTTTATATTTTCGCGCATTGCACAGGACTTTGAATCTAATTGAGTACAAATTATTAACTAAAGTACAATTCATTTTTTACGTGAATTGGCCGTGCTTTCTAACTTTGCAAGGATTGTTTGTGACATCTTTAATCGAGGAAGCTGATTATTTAGACATCAAGTATAAATAGGACTTATTTGATATTAAAAGTCTCACATCAAATATAATAAATTTTTAATAAAATAGATGTGTAAGTGATAGAATTCATCAATTTAAATTTTAAAATAACTTCCTTGATTTTTGATATAAGAGGAATTTACAATAATTAATATTTTTAATATTACTTCTTATTTATTTATTTATTTACTAGTACTTGAATTTATAGACAATAATTTATTATGATTATTAATTATAAAGAAGATCAAAATTTGAAAGTTAAATATTTTTAATAATTTTAAAGACACAACTATCATTTTTTAATAAGTGTTTGATTAAATTTATTTTAGGAGTGTCATACAATTTACAGCTAGTTATCCAATTTAGGCTAGCCATTACTATTTTATTTTGCTTTTAAACACTATCACTAGAGGAGGTTGATGCCATAGTTCCAATAAATACGAGGGTTTGAGTATTTTTTTTTTAAATTTAGGTTCAATAGTATTATTATCATTATGTAAATTATTTTTTAAATTTTTAAAAATAATATAATTTAATATTTATTGTTAATAAAAATTAACTCAAATAGTTGATAAAAAATGATAGAAAATAATCTTAAAAATTATAAAAAATAATAATAAATAACCAAAAAATTACAATGATTCAAAAAATAATAAAAAATGACTAAGCAATTTGGTATGTTTTGTTATTTTCTAGTCGATTATGATAAAAATTAATTTTTAATAATAATATATGTCAAATTATATTATTTTTAAAAATTTAAATAATAATTTGTATCGTAAATAGATTTGAGTTTTTAGTGTTACTTAAGCTAGAATTTAAGGTACTTTTCTCAACTATAAATACAGATACAGACCCAAAGATTATCGAATTAGTGCTTAACGCGTGTCCAATTACTCGTGCTAAAAACTAATAACCTCCCTCGCCGAGGGAGACATGCTCAGTGAAGACATCATCAAACCTGAGCGGGATCCAAACTCTGGATAAAGGTACCACGAGTTAACTAGATTGACGCACCCTAATCGTCAGACGCAACATTTATCGCGTCCAAATACCTTCCGCTCCCACTTTATCTCATCGCATTGCTTTCTTGGCGCGCTACGTCTGCCCGAGTTCCGAGCATGAGTAGCTTAATGGCGAGCTTTCCTGCTCGAATATTTTCCAGTCGTCGCCACTTAGGCTTCGGAAGACATTGTCCCCTTCAAAGATGCATTAAAAGATGCGTCACCGTTCTACCCAGTACTAGGCACAGAGCTCCAAGAATCGTGTGCATGGCGGTACTCATCTAATGCCCAAGGAAAGAGAGAGAGAGAGAGAGCGAGAGAGAGGAAAAAAAAAAAAAACGCGTGGGGGACAAAAGTTGCCGTCTCTCTAATTTTGCGGTTCTTTTCCTCAAAGGATCAAGAGAATCAGCGTTTTATTTGCTTATTCGTTGTTAATTGTAGGAACCTTATTTGATAACAAAGCTGGAATCCGCTGAGAAGACGTGGAAAGAATTATCGGTATGCGCCTTTTTTTTCCCCGTGTGGTCCTATTAATTGTTAACTATTATCTATTAAAAGTTCTAGTTGTAACTATTTTCGGCCTTAGGCCATCAACCCATCCATATATTCGTTATTTGCGCGCATCAAAATTTATGTCTACTTAGTACCTTGTCAAGAGTAACTACGTTATTCCGCCATGTCCTCTATTCCACTCCTGCATTACATTGTCCGAGGGAGTTTATGGATTCATCATTACAATTCCTTCCGTATCTTGTGTGTATTCCTCTATCGGGCATTTGAAACCCATGATTACATGAACAATCAGTAAGCTAACAATACTCGTAGGTCAAGCTTGCCGATCCGGACATTGTATCCAATCCAAGTGAATACCAAAAATTAGCACAATCGATATCTGAACTTGATGAGGTACTGTAACTTATTTACTCCTTTTTATTCCTATGTCTAAATAAGCCTTTCTGGTGATATCATACTGGTATCATTTTAAATGTACTAGGTCGTTGCAACTTACAAGAGATTTAAGGAATGTGAGAAGCTGCTAGAAGAGACCAAAGGTTCGCTCTCAGTTTTTAATCTTTCACTGATTCCTCAGATAATGAATTTTTGTTTGAAAATCATTCAGTCTGACTCTTCTTAATCACCATGTCAGCTTTAGCTAAGGATGATGGCAATGATGAGGATATGGCAGAAATGATAGGTTATGAAATTGAGAGTCTGTCCAGGCAATTAGCAGAGCTTGAGGAGAAGCTTAAGGTTTGTACTTTGCATCAAAAATTTCAGTTGTATGTCATATTCCGTCATCGCCCGTGTTTTTAATTTGTGTCTCCCTACCAAATAAACGGCAATTTTAGCTCATTCATGGTCTTCTCTATTTTTCTTGCTTTAGTATTTATTGTATCGATCAAATATATTGTTTTCACTTGAAATATTGTCTACTATCGCTTCTTATCCTTGTTTGATACCAATGATTGAATCATCTAGGTAGTTATTATCAATTAAACATTCCTCAGATAATAAGTGCTAATTCCAAAACCAAGCAGTGTAGCCAAAATATTAGTGCCCTCTTGTCATTTTCATCTTATTTATTCTCTTATTGTTATCTATCTGAGGAGTCTTTCTTCTTTCATGTTCACATTTCTCTCTAATATGATCTGATGAATACAGTATTACACTATTGTAGATGCTACTGCTTCCCAGTGATCCTTTGGATGCAAGAAACATAATGCTTGAAGGTGAACTATCTCTTTATTTAAATTGCTTTGTTGGAACTAGTGTTTCGCTTGCAGGCCTGATGGAATGTATCATGATGGGAACTTTTGTTCAAACAACGGAATATATAGTTGACAAAAGAGAGGAATTAATAGAGCTTATGTAGAGCTGGCCCATGTGGAGAACTGAACTGAATGGTTTGAAATTGATTGTTGTTGCTGCGTTTAGATTTTCTAATCTGACCAGCCTGAACTGGTTTATCTTTTATCTGTGGATGATATGAATTGTGGTCTTTATGACATTTTTATATTTTACATCTCCCTGAAGCAGAATTCCAAACTCTCTGGTTAACTCTGCTTTACTTAACATTCTTCTATTATCTCTATATGGGGTCATTTAACATTCTGCTAATATTTTTTCACTCCTTTAATATATCAGTAATGTTATGTTGCCTGTCTTCTAATAGTTTATAGATGTTACTTAGTATTCTTGTGACTCAGATTTTGCTCCATGTCATTTTGTTGTTTGTGCTCATATTTCATTCAAGTTTTCCAACGCTAAGGATAAGTACCATTCACTTTTCCAGTACGAGCAGGAACTGGTGGTGATGAGGCTGGAATATGGGCTGGTGATCTTGTAGGTACACATTGTAATTGTCCTTTCTAATCCCTGGGTACTAAAAGGGACCTACTATTTCACTGTTGAGTACGTTGTGGAAAATGAACAAAGGTGGATAGTTAAGACACACATATTTTCCTAGTCGACTGGATGAATTCTGAATTGCTTAGTTGGCTTCAAACTTTTTCCTACCTTTTCATCCAGGCTTCTTTTGGATGCCTAAAGATTACACTTTTTAGTGAATGGGCAATTATTGTGAAGTTCATATCTAAGAACGCTATGGTTGTTGGTGTCTGATTAGGTCCGAATGTATCAAAAATATTGTGAGCAGAACTCATGGAAGTATTCTCTTGTCTCAACCTCTGAGGTATTCCTCCCTCAGACTCCATAAAAATTGACATCAAATAGCTTTTGTAATTTGCGTAATTTCCTTCATCATTCAGGCTGAAAAGGGAGGATTCAAAACATATGTAATGGAAGTCAAAGGTAAACGTGTCTACAGTAAATTAAAATACGAGTCAGGTGTCCACCGAGTTCAACGTGTTCCTCAAACAGAAGCACAGGGCCGTGTACATACATCTACTGCAACAGTAGCTATCATGCCAGAGGTAGAGCTTACACTTTGCACGGCTCTTTAGCATCTAACTCCGTGATGTATAATTTGTAATTAATAAAGAAGTTAGTGGTCATTGGCTGTTATGGACAAAGGGAGTTACACATCACTCTGGAAGAATTATTTTAAGTCTCTGCAGTCTGGTAATACTTAATATTTGATTCCAAGATTCATCAGCTTTTGTATAGGGACCTATCATAATCATCTGTGACAGAGGTGGGATTTATAACTGATAGTTTTATTAAAAGGAAATCTATTAGAAGAATTTGAGCAAGAATCTCGCTCTCGAAGCTCTAATATTCAGGAGAATCTCCCTTAGTACAGGAAATAGAAAATACCTTCTTGCTACTGAAAACATCCTTACAGTAGCTATTTATTGAGCTAGTAAATAACAACAATTAAATAATAAACATGCGAAACATCCTTAAAACATCCACAGCAGAGTTAGTGGCTTATGTAACCATGGCTTCCTCCTCCTCTACATGATCTCTACCTCCCTTATCCACTTCTGCTGTGACAGCTCCAGAGCACCAAATTGATCATGATCCATTTCTTTCACTCTTCCATGGGTGTTACTCCTTGTATATTTGATTAGAGGCCTCCTATCAATCAGTGAGTACCATAAATCTAGTTCTTTAGCAAAGTAGATATGAAGTTGGTTTCTCAATTAAGTAGTCTAGTCTTCTAGAAGGATTTCATTTTATGACCTGGAGATTTATGTTATATATCAACTTATTTTCACTTTCCTTTGCTTTTTCTTTTTTAAAGCGAACTACCTCCATCCTTTATTTGAGGGCTTATACAGTTAAATGTTCTGTGAGGAGTTTTATTTATTAGTTATAACAATCAGCTGGTACGCTAGGTATGTGTTTTCCTTCAAGATACAATGATGATATTGCTTTGCTCTGTTTATTCTTTTATGAACATCGATATCTTTACATCCATTATGCTGATGTTAAATTTTTATCTAGGCTGATGAAGTAGAAGTGGTAATTGACCCAAAAGATGTTGAACTTACAACTGCACGTTCCGGGGGTGCTGGGGGTACAGATTTATGAATACGGCACTATTTCTATCATGAAATTGAATTTTCCATTTTTAATAAATTAGAGTCAACTCCACTATCATTTACTAATCAAAGATACCTTGCAGGACAAAATGTTAATAAGGTAGAGACAGCTGTAGATCTTTTCCATAAACCAACAGGAATCCGAATCTTTTGTACTGAAGAAAGAACTCAACTTCAGAACAAGAATCGAGCTTTTCAGTTGCTCCGAGCGAAACTGTAAGCACAAAATTTGCCAATTACTCCTTTCAACTTCACAGGCTTTGGCTTTATTAAGTGATTCTACTTGTTCCTACTATTCTGTCGACTTTTCATCCTCTAACACATATAAATGTTCACTAGACAAATATTCTTAAACTTACTGGAGATCGTGTTGTTATTATTATACATAGGAACTAAACGATACTTAGATCATGATGACAAAAATCAATCGAATGATCTAAGAACGCTCACATAATTTCTTGAGTAATCTCTTTAACCCTTTGGTTTAAGTTGTTGCATTGAAAATTTTCATAATGGTCTTGGTTGCAGATACGAGATGAAGGTTAGGGAGCAGCAAGTGTCGATAAGAAATGAAAGGAAATCCCAGGTGTGTTTTTAGTTGCTATGGGTGTTTAGTTTACTATTTTGATCAATATAAAACATAAGTATGATTTTGATAAAAGTTTGTTAAAGACTTCAAAATACTAGCAGCAACTAATAAAAATTTTCAGGAAGAAGGGAGCAAACACTTTTATATTATATTTTATGGTGTATTTTTTGTTTTTTGGGGGGGTTTGGTACATATTCTTTAGCAAAAATATTGAATTTTTATGAATGAATTATGCGTTAACTGACGTCATTACAGGGGCAGCTGCCCCTGAAATCCAACCCTTAGAGAGTTCCATCCCTGATCTTAACCCCCCCCCCAAAAAAAAAGGGAAAAACATAGCTTTCATTTTTTAAAGCATTGCAATTTACATTATTGTAATATATTGTTCTTTTCTATATTTCAATTTACAGGTTGGTACGGGTGCCCGTGCTGAAAAAATTCGGACTTATAATTATAAGGTGCTCTTTGTTGCTGTCTCCATTCTCTATTCATACATTTTACTGCATCATCCAGAAGTGGAAGATCGTATCATGATTATGTTCAGTTTTCTATTTTTTTTTTTTTAATAATTTGTAAGGTGAAATATGATAGAGCATAATGGCATAATATAATTCATGTAGCAAACCTTATCTAGTGAGATAAAGCTTGTTATTATTATTGTTGTAAGGGAAAATATGCAACTTTTGTGGAAAATTGCACCTTACTCTTTTACGTAAACACATTTATCCAATCAAGTTATTGAGATTCAGTGATCTAGAGTAAAGTGGTCTGTCACAGAACAGCAGTTTGACGAAAAGCAGCCAATGGTTATACGAAGTTTCGTTTCTTGAAAAGTTTATGATTGTCCACTGACAAATTATAAGGCTTTTTTTTTTTTTTGGTAATCTAGGACAATAGGGTAACTGACCACAGATTGAAGGTCAACTTTGAGCTCACCTCTTTTCTTGGTGGTGATATAGAAAGTGCTGTTCAGGTATATTATCTTGCATGTATATTATGGATTTTTTTTAAAAAAAAAAAGTAGTTTTGTTGTTCCCCCGTGTGTGTCTAATGAGAATGCTTTGCGATTACACAAATGAACCTTTCTTCCTGCAGTCTTGCTCTGCAATGGAGCAAAAGGAACTCCTGGAAGAACTTGCTGAATCAGTAGGTGCTACAGCTGGCTGATCTGATATGTCCATTTGGAAGGGAAACCTTCTTAAACCAGGTAGGCAGGAAAGTTCTGACAAAAGACTTGTCATAGGTGGTAGATTTGCTCTATAGTTGTCCTCTTGAATGACTCTCACCATCTTAAGTTTGTAACATCTTCAGTTGATCGTTCATGTGTAAATAAGATGCGCATTTTACTTGTAACAATATAGAATACAAGACCCCTCATTCATGTTGATAAATTGGTATCTGTATCGTTATGTAAAGTGACGCTATTAACTGGTGAACTTTGGGCGCTCTGCTTCGTGCGTTCCACTTGCAATCTTGAAAGAGCTTGTTCCTCACAAACTTCTCGGCTGCCGGTATTGTGATATTTTCCTCTGACATAAGCGCATTATTGAAATTGCTCAAAGTAGCATGTCAACTTAATTGGCGGTAGCTGTTACTGCAATGCGTCAGCCAAACTAATGGAAGTCATGGAAAATAACCTCCAAGTTTAAAGCTATGACCACTGAGATTTGTTCTGGGTGGAAGGAACGTGCAACAACCTTCGATGATGGCTGCTAAATTATTTATCCTTGAGCTTCAACAATGGATATGCAGTAGAGATTGTTTTGTTTTGTTTTGTTTTTTATATGACTATATGATTGGACTAAATTTGAGCATTGTCAGGCTTAAATGAAAGTAACTTTTTGAAAAATATTTTTTGCATTTATATGAATTTGAACTTGAAATTGCATGCTTAGGTGATCATGTTTCTTTTCACCATGATCAAAGGTATCTCACCTGAGAATTAGAGTCTGGGTAAATCAAGAGTCAAAGACATGTTGGGCTTAGTCCCCAATTCTGAGTTTGACACATCTTTGTTTCACCGAAGGAAAAAAAAAAAAATTGAAAGTCTAGTGGGATTTTTGAGGTTAAGTCGGTAATTTCAGAAAAAATTTAAGACTGGATTTAACAAAATAATATTTTTTTAATGTGTTTGGACTTGAATATCTGAATTAAAAAATTGCATTTTTAAAAATATATGAAATGCATTAAATATTGATTAATTTTTAAAGTTTTAGGTTATTTTATATTAGGATATGATAAATTTAAGTACATTGTTATAGATATTTTTTAAAAAAAATTAAAAATATTCACATCGTTATATTTTTATTATTTTAATCTATACAATATTGTAAAATGATAATTAAAATATATTTTAATATTAATTTTTAAATTCAAGACCTGCATTTTTTTTTGAGTTTACTTTTACATTTTCTAAATATCTCAAAAATATATTTATATTTTTTATAAAATTAAAATTAAATCATAATTTACTTAAAAAATGAAAATTTTAAAAAGATTGACAAATTGAGAATTCAAACAGTCTCAAATAAGCTTGAAGAGGTTAGTGTTGAGCTTATTTATTTGAATTGTTTTATAAATTTAGACTTATTTAAGTTGATCAAAATAAGTCTGTTCTACTTGAATTACTAACTTTATTTTGAGATTTACTTGAAAATTTGATAGAATAGAATGAGCACAAGTGCTTTGCATTGTTATTCTCACAAAAAAAAAAAAACTTTTCACTAATTTGTAATTGTAACATCCTCTTTCTTTGAAAAGTTTTTTAGAATTATTTTTAAATTCAGAGATAGAATAAGATTGCGTTTAAAATAATTTTAGATAGTTTGAACTTAAAAAAAATCATAATATCTTAAATTTTAAGACTTAATTAATATTAAGAAGAAATTATCCCATGATAATTTGATGTTATCATTTAATTATTTGAATAAGAAGAATTTACTCAAAATGAGAAAAATATTAAGGATTTAATTTTAAAAAATATTTTTAAGGCAGGGGAAATTTATAGAGTTTAAGTGAGATTAAATAAATAAGATCTTAACTATTTTATTTAAGATATTATACTTATTTGAATATTATCTAAATTATAATAAAATGAAATATATTTAAGATTTAACTTTTGATTGTAAAAGAACTTTGATAAATTATAATATGGAATTTAAAGTATCTACAATATATATATATATATATATATATTATATTATATTATATATACATATTTATATAAGAGAAGGATAAGATAAAAATATAACAAGTGATAAAAGAATTTTTGAGATATTATTTGGTTTGATATGTAAATCAATATAATTATGATTTGTTATCTAAATGCTGAGTATGTTATGATATTTTTTGAGTTGTGTGGTTTAAATTTTCTAGCACACTTTCAAATTTTTATTCAATTATAAAGATGTGTATATTTCATTTCAAGCATGCCAAATTCCTAAATTCATACTTGCTTGAAAGTTGATTGTGAAATCTCACTAGATTGATTTATTTACCAACCTAGAATACATTGTAACATTTAAAGAGGTTATTGAAACATTATCTCACTCTTATTTTAAACATTGCAACAATAGTTAGCAAAGCTCTGATAAGAAAATAGGTAAGGACTGTCAATTCTTTAAAAGTGTGACTCAAAAACTAATCCTGTTGTCACATTATGAAAATAGTTACATTTGCATAGTCGTTTGTTTAATACTTTTGCTTTCATTTTACTTTAAAATGTATATTCTCTTAGTCTTTAGACCTTGAGTTGAAGAGATTTAATCAGAGGCTATAAATTACATTATTTTATTTTTATTTACTTACTCATTATTGTTATTTTGTGAGATAAAGGTGTGCTAGATCGTGTGTTGAGAAATTTGCATGGGTCCATATGTTTGATAAATGTATATGCTTGGGAAAAGAGAACTTTTAGCTTTTCCTACTATGACATTCTTGAGTGCTTGCTCTAAATATCATGATAAAACTAAGGATAGTTCTTTTTCTATCGTGATAGTTAGGTTGTTCTTTTTCTATCATAGTAGATAAATCTTTTACTACTCTGGTGAGACATGATTAAGTGTAATTTTTGTGTTCGAGTTGTTTTAGTAAGAGCTACTTTTTTTTATATATATATTCTTTTAGAAGGTAGGCCAATCTAGTGTCAAAGGTAAGAGTGTTTAAATTGCACCCGTTCCAACTGGCCCGATTTCATCTAGACCTAAAAATAATTAGAATGGGACTTTACAGGATAGAATACAGGATTGCTCTTGAGACATCCAGTCCCATTTCGAATATTATATATATATATATTATTTTTTATTTTAAAAATATAAATTAAATAAATTAATATAATTTACACTTGTGTTAATTATAATTTCAATACTTGCCATCTTATTTAAAATTAGAAGTTTTTTATAATAATAATTTTAATAACACAGGGTAAACAATTCATGTTAATATATTTCTTTACGATATATTAATTATATTAGTATAATTTATTCTTTTTATTTGCCTATTTAATAATTTTTATTTATATCATATTTCTTGCTTTATTTTAAGAAGAGTCATTGGCTTAATATATTTCAATTAAAGAAAAAGAATAATAATTTGATGTTGTGCTGGGCTTGTCCGTTGTTGCTCTTATAGCCTAAAGATCACTTGTAATCACTATCACAATGTATTATGTCTTATGTATACTTGACATATTATATATTTGTAGTTGTAATTAATGTAATTTAATAATTGTACACCTGTTGTTTTAATTTTAAAATTTTAATTAATGAATATTATTATTTAAGCTATTCTCTTATATTGTTTGTTTTATTGAAACGACGGAATGTCTTAATCTCGTCCTAATGCTATCCTGATTCCTAACATGGACAAACAGAATGGGACGAGATATGAGATAAAAATTCATTCTCGATAGGATAGGTATCTTGGCCCTGCTTAGTGAATGCCCCTAGTCAAAGATGATTAATTCCTCATGCAGGTTTGTAAGATGACACATTTAAAATTCTTTATTTAGATAGTTTAAAAAATTTTAAATAAAAAAACTTTAGATTCAAAATGAAAAAAATTAAAAATAATAAGTTTATTTTTATTTTTTAATTAATAAGATATAAAAATATATAAATTATAGAAATATCATTAGTAAAAACACAAAAGAAATCAAAATGTTTGAAGTTATTAAAATTTTAAATGACTGTAAAAAAATTAAAACTATAAAAAATTATAACTTGAAATGATTAATTTTTATGTATTTAAATAAAAAATTAAATTTAAATTGAAGTCTAGATTCACATTTTCATTAATCAAATCACACCATTAACCCAAATGTTGATCGAGCCAACTAACTCCGAAGTTGCAATCTTACGAAAAAAACCTCGAGATCTATAAAAGAAAACTCCGTTCTAATTACTGAACGCCCCAGCGTGATCTGTTGATAACCAGGGCGGGGAAGATGGTCCAGCTGTCCACCATGGAGCGATTCCAACCGGACAATGGTCAAGAGCTACACCTGGCATCTCCTCCCGATCTCCACTATCCAGCATATGGCAATTCCCACATCTTCATCACTCCTACTAATTAAACCTTCTCTTTCACATTCCTTGTTGCTCGACATTTCTATGCTCCGCAAACTCTTCCTCTCTTCCTCTTCCCATCGCCTTCTGCCTCCCCAACCAAAACTATCGTCGCCTAGAAAGTACGCTTATCCTGCTGCTTACTTCCCTTCACTTCTCTGCCCTTCCTCCTCTGTTATATCGCGACGCATTCACGCACACGAGGTTTTGGCAATGGCTGAAAGACCCACCTATTCAACGTCTTGTTCCTATAAGCACACCAATCGACTTTCTTCCGAGCACAGCCCCTATCTGCTGCAGCACGCCCATAACCCGGTGAGCAAATGCTTTTCTGGAATCTAGTTGTTCGATCGTTGCTCTGAAAGGCTGCGAGGGAAGATGAAGCATGCAACAATTTTTTATGTAAAGTGCCGAGACAGCAAGAAAGGGAAAAAAAGTAGTGCTTGTTTTGTTGTCCTTGCATGATACTGCTATTTTTGTTGGGTCTTCGGAAACTTTGCCGGGTTGACTTAATTAATTGCTTTTTTGCTTTTATTACTTATTAATCACTGACTTCTTATTGAAGGTTGATTGGTATCCATGGGGAGAAGAAGCTTTCACTGAAGCGCGAAAGAGAGATGTACCTATTTTCTTATCAAGTAATTATCTTCCTCTTCTCCCCCCCGCCCTTTTATTTTATCAAATGCTTTGTGTCCTCTTGTTTATTTTTGAAAATTTCGCTGATAAGATTGACTGCTGGTTGGCATTATGGTATTAATGGCGATTCTTTTCGAAGTTGGGTACAGCACTTGCCACTGGTATGATTACTTCAACTGGCGTGTAACTTTTGATCTCTGGAGCACGGTGGAATGGTAAAATATAGTGGACTGATTGATTATTTTGGGACTCTGAATTATTGTTGTTAAGGTGTCATGTTATGGAGGTCGAGTCATTTGAAGACGAGGGGGTTGCCAAGTTGTTGAACGATTGGTTTGTTAGCATTAAGGTAAGTTCAAATTTTGCCTGCCTTTTTTTTTTTTGGGGGGGGGGGGGGGCCTGTACTGCTTCGAATTGTAGCAGTCTTCTAACTGATCTGGTCGCTTCGACCATTTTGTGAAGATCACTAATCAACGCATTCTTCTTTGTTCCATACAATTTTATCCTGTCAATGCCACAGGTGGACCGAGAGGAGCGACCGGATGTCGATAAGGTATGTAAAAACTGACTTTTCTATTAAATCCCGCTAGAGAATTAGCTTCAAATTTGTTCCATGTTAAGGAGCCCAATAAAAATATTTCTTTGATTCATGCGGAATTCCCTGTTCATTCTTAAACTTTTTTTTTTTTGTTTAAGTTTGATTGATGGGGTTTGCTTCCCTGCCTTCCGAATGGGGTGTGTAGAGAATGTTCAACATGTTTCATACATAATGGGATGGGCTTAAAAGATTTTCTTGTTGTCTTTTAAGGTGTACATGACCTATGTGCAAGCTTTGTATGGGGGAGGAGGTTGGCCACTGAGCGTGTTCCTTTCACCTGACTTGAAACCTTTAATGGGTGGAACTTACTTTCCACCTGATGATAAGTATGGACGACCCGGATTCAAGACTCTACTTAGGTAAGAATCAATGCACGTAGCAAGTTAAATCATGGACCTCAGCCCCTCCGCCCGTTTCTCATAATGTCTGTAGAATGAGAAACTCCTGGTTCAATGCTTTAAAAATTATTGCTGTGTCGTTGATCTTACTTATAGAGTATAATAATTTCTTACATTCTCCAGAAAGGTGAAAGAAGCTTGGGACAATCAGAGGGATACACTAGTTAAGAGTGGAGCCTTTGCAATTGAACAGCTTTCTGAGGCTCTGTCTGCTGGTGCAGATTCTAATAAATTGGCCGATGGAGTTTCGGAAAATGCTCTACGTTTATGCTCAGATCAAGTAAGGATTTGTTCATCCATTTATTTTTTGAATATACTCTGCCAAGTCAAGTCTTTCCCTCATAACAAGATCTTGCTGTTAATCTTGTTTGCTTTCCTATTCATGAGAATTGTGAGGCGGTGGAGAAATTATTGTAACAAAGAAATCTTGCCTTCTCCTTCATAATGATATAAGCGGCAGACAGTAATAATTGTTGTGAGATCTTCTCATTGAAAGAACATATCGCATCTCTGTTTACGGTTATATCTATCTTGTTCCTATATATTCGGAGCTTCTTTTCATTGAATTCTTTCTATTAAGGGTTGCAAGGCCCTGATAATTATTTAATCGATCATTTCCTTTGTTAGCTCTCTGGAAGCTATGACTCTAAGTTTGGTGGGTTTGGATCTGCACCAAAGTTTCCCAGACCAGTTGAGATAAATCTGATGCTTTACTATTCCAAAAAATTGGAGGATACTGGGAAGTTGGGTGGAGCTAATGAACATCGGAATATGGTTTTCTTTACCTTGCAATGCATGGCAAGAGGGGGTGTTCATGATCATATTGGAGGGGGTTTTCACAGATATAGTGTGGATGAGTGTTGGCATGGTAAGTTATCTTGGCTACAATCATTCCAGTGATTAAATATTTTTGATGGTGTGTCTGATTTTTTTTTTAACTGTAGTTCGCAGTTACTCTGAAGAGGCGTATATAAATGTTATTTTTTTAGTTTTTCTTTATTTATTGCAATTTGCGATTGTGTTCTCTGTTATGAAATGTTAAGGTGATTAAATCATTGAGCTGTAACATTGATTGCAGTTCCACATTTTGAGAAGATGCTATATGATCAAGGGCAGCTTGCTAATGCTTATTTAGATGCGTTTTCTATTACAAAAGATACCTTCTATTCATTTATATCACGGGATATCCTTGATTATTTGAGGAGAGACATGATTGGTCCAGAAGGTGAAATCTTTTCAGCAGAAGATGCTGACAGTGCAGAAACCGAAGGAGCTACAAGGAAAAAGGAAGGAACCTTTTATATATGGACCAGCAAAGAGGTCTTTTACCAAACATTTTGTGCCTAGAATTGGTTTTTTCTCATTTATTTCTCAACCATTTTGTCATTTTCTGTTATACATCAAGTGATGCATCTTTAATGTTATTTCAATGCCATGCAATCTCTATCTCCAACTGTTTAGATGTTGACATTCAGTTTGCTCAGGATAACCTAACTGCGCATTTTTATTTTGATCAAGAAATCTTACCGAAACTTGTAAGTTTGAATCACTCTTCAGTAGTTGATGGATGCTTCAGATGTATGCCTCCTTTGTCCTATTGTTCTGTTCGGAATATGAAAAGATAATATAACTTCTTAGACGTGGGCATATATCGGTTTTTCCATTCATGCTGGATGTTTTATTATGCATTTTGTGTGTTAAATTACACTTTGGTTCGTCTATTGTGCATGACTTGAAACATCCTAATTTAACGCTGTGTTGAAATTTCTTCTCGTTCATTTTCAAATATGTCATTGACTGTATTTTCCCTACATAATAAATCTGATTAAACATAATGTTGGTTTATGATTTTTTAGCATCAGTTCGCTTCTAAATATGGTCAGCTTTTTGAGTGGCTTGTTTTGATTTGTTTTTGCAGATTTACAATTATTTCTGCAACATCATGAATTTTTTTGGTAGATGATTATTTTTAAAAAATTATAGTGTGTGTATATATATATTTTTTGTGGTGGTTGACCCTTGATAGTTGGTTTGTCATCTCTCTCTCTCTCTCTCTCTCTCTCTCTCTATCTGTTTCTCTTTAGGTTGAAGACATACTTGGACAGCATGCAGATCTCTTCAAAGAGCATTATTACATAAAGCCCTCTGGCAATTGTGACCTTTCTAGACTGAGTGATCCTCATAATGAATTCATGGGGAAGAATGTCCTGATAGAGAGAAAGGATCTATCTGAATTGGCATCAAAATATGGTATGTCAATTGAGAAATATTCTGAGATTCTTGGAGAATGCAGGCAACAGCTATTTGAAGTGAGGTCAAAACGACCAAGGCCACATTTAGATGATAAGGTATTTTGCCTCACTCATATAGGATCTAGTTATACCAGGCTAGGTTTCAAGTCTTATGCATTCTCAAAAGACCGTATGCTTCTAGGTTATTGTATCCTGGAATGGGCTTGTAATCTCATCTTTTGCTAGAGCCTCTAAGATTCTCAACGTTGAAGCTGAAGGGACCACATTCAACTTTCCTGTTGTTGGCACTGAAGTAAGTTTTTACTCGTTCTTATGTAGTTCTGTAATTTGATTGAGGTTTTGGTATGTGATTTCAACAAGATGACTAATGATCCTTAAATGTTGCTGCCTTTAGGGGTTAAAATAGGACCCTCCTTTTTCCTTTCCTTTTTTTTTGGGCCTTTCATGGATGTTACCTGTGGAGGGGAAATTGTTGTCATAGACGTACAACCTTATACTATCGATCACAATTCTTGTTGCATGATTAATGGTCTATAATACAATTGCCTTTCACTGAAAGGTGCATGGGACTAACGGGTGAGGATGTTGGAGCTAGAGCTGCTGCCAGCTTGACATTTGCCTTTACAGTCATTGATAAATAGTATTTGATTTCCTCTTTTTTGTTGCACAACTTCTAGCCAAAGGAGTACTTGGGAATTGCAGAAAAAGCAGCCTTCTTTATTAGGAAGCAACTCTACAATGAGGAGACAAGCAGGCTGCAGCATAGTTTCAGAAACGGTCCATCTAAAGCTCCTGGTTTTTTGGATGATTACGCTTTTCTGATTTCTGGATTGCTGGATCTCTACGAATGTGGTGGTGTAATCGACTGGCTTGTGTGGGCAATTAAACTGCAGGAGACCCAGGTGAAAATTAACGTCTGGACTTGAAAAAAGTTGTATGCTTTGCCAGAACACACTACACAGATTAAGTTACTCATGAGATGAATTGCTTGCAGGATGCTTTGTTTCTTGATAGGGAGGGAGGAGCTTATTTTAACACGCCAGGAGAAGATCCTTCAGTTCTTCTCCGTGTTAAAGAAGATCATGATGGGGCTGAACCCTCTGGAAACTCGGTTTCTGCAGTCAATCTTATTAGATTGGCTTCCATGGTTGCTGGAAATAAGGCTGAGTATTACAGCCAAAACGCAGAACATCTTCTGGTGTGCCCCTACCCTTCTGCTTTTTATGTTTATTATAGGTGGAGTGGGATAAGTCACGATAGTGTCTATAAGTCTATTACTAGACCATAGGATAAATTTGGAATTGACTAATATTTCCTTGCATGACCCATGCAGGCAGTATTCGAAAATAGATTGAACGATATGGCTATGGCAGTGCCTTTAATGTGTTATGCAGCGGACCTGTTGCGTGTACCTTCCCGCAAGCAAGTAGTTCTGGTTGGTGAAAGGACTTTAAAGGAATTTGAAAGCATGCTTGCCACAGCTCACGCATTATATGACCCTAACAGAACCGTAAGTGTTATAGCTGCTTGTGACGTTGGTATTCTCATTTTTCTTCTTTTCTGTGTCTATCATAAATAGCTTGTGTTTACATCGATGGCAGGTTATTCATATAGATCCCAACAACAAGAAAGAGATGGAATTTTGGGAAGCACATAACAACAACATTGCTCTCATGGCGAAGAATAACTATGCAGCAGACAAGGTTTCAGCTCTTGTTTGCCAAAACTTCACTTGTAGCCCGCTTGTAACTGATCACGCCTCACTTGGAGCTCTGCTCTCTAAGAGACCCTCCTCTTCAACTGCATAGGCGTCGTTCTGAGTTCTCGAAGTAGGCAATAGAAGTGGCATCCCCTAATAATCTAGCGGCTTATCTACTGATGCTATTGATTCCGAGTCGCTGACTCGCTAGTATCAACTAGACGTGGTGCATATTCTTCACTGATATGTACAGGGTGACCGGTTCAAAAGTATTTTGCGGCTTCTCCCGTCTCTGCTTTTGAAGCCGGAATTGCCAGTGGTTGGGTGCGTTTGTCCAGCCGCAGATTTTCCCCACTTTTTTTTTTTTTTTTTTTCCCGTGGAAGCATATCAAACCAGCAAAGTTCGGTCAAGGTCACCAAAATTTTTACCTGTAGCATAAAATTATAGGGTCGACATGGGAAGAGTCATCTTCAATTTAAATGGAGAAACCCGCTTCCAGTAAAGTGTCTTCGACTGGAAAACATTTAAAGCATATTCTCAAGTCTTGAACCGACTGGATCCTGCAAAGACCCATTCATTGCTTGAAAAGGGGGTAACTCTACCCATATTCACATCCATGTGTCGTTATATCAAATGTCCGTAACATCATTAATCCACACAAGTTATGTTTTTAGCGGTATCATCATCATTATTATTTTAGATTTTACAATGTAATGTAAGAAAAAATCATAGAATTTTTCTTTTACATTTATTATTATAACTATGGAACCAAAGGTTGGGGGGGTTATATTATACGACAAGTATAAATTTTTTATTTGTCAAAACATAATTTAACTTAGTGTCAAGAACATATCATGATGCCAGCATAATATGCTTGCTAATAATAAATGATGTAAACTACCGGAATGTATTCTAAGAATGGGATTTAAATTTTAGTGAATTTTGGTGAAGTATTTTTTTAATATATTTTTAAAGAAAAGGGTTAGAAGATTTTATATTTTATAAAAAAACAATAAAATAATTGAAAATTTTATCTAATATTATCAATTTTAATTTCAGAGGATTTAAATATCTAAAAATAATATGAAATATGCGTGTTTATGCATTCGTTTTTTTTTTAAGGGGTTAAGGTATAATTTTGTCCTTAAATTATTTTCGAAAGAACAATGTTGTTCTTATCGCTAAAACGTCTGTTACTGTAATTAGTGAGATTCACTTTTTATAAGTTAAGGTGCAATTTTGTCCTAAATTATTTTCAAAGGAGCAATGTTGCCCTCACCTTTTAAAAATTATAAAATTAAATAAAAAATTATAATAATATTAAATCTATATATAAAATAAATATAAGAAAAAATTTATAGTATATTAATAAAATATTATAAATTAATAATATTATAAATTACACTTTTATAACGTGTTAAATATAAGTAAATTTTAGTTAAATTAAATATAAACAGACTTAAAAGTATTTTCATTTATATCTATAATTATTGACTAGAGCCGTCATTACCTACTCGATTTGGACTAAAAAAGTATTTTCATGATTGAGCTAGATTTGAGAAGAGTTAAGCGACTATTAAGTCAAAAATTGAAGTTGAATTGAAAATCGGGGCAATTTTCAAAAAACTTGACGATTTTAAATATAATATTTTAAAAAGCTTAAAAAAATTTTAAAATAAAAAAATTTAAAAATTAGATCCTACTAAAAGTCAACTTTATTTTTAAACAATTAACATGTATAAAATATGATTTGAGATCATTTTTTTATAAAGATATTGATAATTATAAGTGTAAATGCAGATACTTTTGAGTCTACTCATGTTTAATTTAATTAAGATCCCCTTATATTTGATAAGTTATAAAATTATAATTTATATTTTTTTCTTATATTTATTTTATACATACATTTAATATTATTTTTATTTAATATTATTATAATTTTATTTTTATATACACATTTAATATTATTTTATTTAATATTGTTGTAATTTTATTTAAATTTAATTTTAATATTTTTAAACAGTGAGGGCAACATTACTTCTTTGAGAATATTTTAAAAATAAAATTACACTTTAACGTATAAAAAGTGAGTCCCAAAAATTACAGTAACAGACATTTTAACGGTAGGGACAACATTGCTTCAATTTGATTAGTTTAAAGATAATATTGCTACAACTAATAATTTAAAAATAATATTATTTTTTTAAAAATAATTTAAGGATAAAATAACAACTTAATTTTTTTAATAATCTTCCGTATTAAGAGTTGATAGTCTTGATTATTTTAAATAAATTTAAATATTATGGAGTTTAAAAGGGTGACTCTCTTAAATAAAATTTTCTCATTCCCATCATCTTCGGAATCAAATTCAAGAGCTAATAGTAACTCATCCTTTTTAAACCAACATGCCCTTGGATGACTTCATGCGTTGCTTAACTTCATCACTGTCAGCTTCAACCTATTTTATCCGGGGATGAAACTTCAGCTGGGTAGGCCCATCAAAGAAAGAAGGAACGGGGTGGCTAATCGACCTTCTGCCCAATAGCTTTGCTATCACGCTTATCCAGCAACATATAGTAGGATGGAAACGTTCCAGAGTCCCATGATGGTTAATCGAACTATTTCTTGCGCCTTTCCTTCCAGACAATCCAAGCAGATTTTTGGGGTTTCAAATTCACGTCTCTTGTTCATTTTTCTGAACCGATCACCTCCCAGACCAGTCTCCTTCAAAATCGAAGCAAATAATTCGAATTTCACCTTCTCTTACCTCGTAGGTTCTTGTGGGTTGGCTCCAGAAGCTGCTACTTCGGTGTCGCAGAAGGTACAACTGCATTCAAGTGAGAGACCAGACTCCGTCCTAACCCTGCTCAGAGAACACGGCCTCTCAAAATCCCAGATTTCAAATGTCGTCAGGAAGCGTCCATCGCTCCTTTTAGCTAATCCCAGTGATATCCTTTTGCCAAAGCTTGAATTTTTTTACTCCATAGGGATTTCCAGATCTGACCTTGCAAGAATCCTCTCTGCAGACCCAACCATTTTGACAAGAAGCCTGGAGAAACAGATAATTCCTTCTTATAATTTCCTCAAAAGTGTGTTGCTGTCTGACGAGAAGGTTGCTTCTGCCTTGAAGCGCACGTCATGGATTTTTCTGGAAGACCATTCGAAGAAGCTCTTACCGAATATCTCTGTTCTGAGAGCAACAGGCGTGCCAGAATCATGCATTGCATTGTTGCTCGCTCATTTTCCTGAGACATTAATCCAAAAGAATGGCCAATTTGTAAATGCTGTCGAAGAGATTAAGGAAATGGGATTCGATCCAACCAAGTCGACATTCGTGTTAGCGATTCACGTAATGGCAGGTAATAAATCGATATACAATCGCTGTGTCGAGGTATACCAGAGGTGGGGTTGGTCAGAGGAGGAGATTCTAATGTCATTCAGAAAGCACCCGAATTGTATGCTTCTGTCGGAGGATAAAATAACGAAAGCAATGGACTTCCTCGTGAACAAGATGGGTTGGCCTTCGAGGATGATAGCGAGTTGCCCAGTGGTGTTGTTTTTCAGCTTGGAGAAGAGAATCAAACCGAGGTGTTCAGTTGTTCAGGCTCTGCGATTGAAGGGGTTGATCAAAAAGACTCTGAGCTTGTCTACTGTGTTGTTGCCGGACAAGAAACGTTTTGTGGAGAAGTTCGTGACCAAGTATGAGCATCAGGTGTCCGACTTGTGGAGTATCTATGAGATGAAAGTGGATTTTAAGAGCGTCATTTGAATGTCATTGCAACTTCCCATTGAATGCATTAAACAGCATTTTTTTTTTTGGGAGAATCCTAGTTCTGTAATGAACCATGTTACTGCTCTACAGAAGAGTAATCTGGTTTGAGTGCTTCCGTCATTTAATCCCCACGGCAATATTAGATTTACTTGGTTAATGTTTATTAGTTTGGTAATACCTACCCGTATAATTCAGGCGTTTGGAAATACCAAAATTGAGACTTGATATTTCTCAATTCAAGAATTCCAAAATAAACTCTAAAGCTTGATGATATTACTCTGCTGTTTCGTGTGACATGTCTGACATCTCTTTCCTCTATCAAGTCATAACCTTCGTCATCTTCTGGCGAGGATTGGAGGGCCTTTGTCGGGTGCGAAAGTATTGACTTGAAGCTTTTCCTCCCACCTTAAAGATAAATGCAAGAAAGAAGACAACGGGTCATTCTTGCGTCACAGACAGAGGAATTCAGGCGATTTTTTTTTTTTTTTTTTTAAAAAAACGGTTCCTCGTTTGACTTCAAACGGTGCTTTGTTACGTGACTTGATTTGAAGGATAGTCAACAACCATCCGGTTGGTTACTTAATCTCATTTTCTTTATAATAAATAATTCAGATATAGACATGTTTTGGTTTGTGAAATGCCTTCTTTGTAACAAGGGGAGGTAACTTAGGGTCAGAAAAGCAAAAATATTTTTGTTTGATCTACTGTTTAGTAGAATTTAAAGTGCAAATTATCAGTTATAAATAATACAATTTATCATATATCTTATATATTATAATTGACAATTTATTCAATATGCCAACAAGATCAATCAAATACAACATCAAAAAATAGATTATGGGATAAAATCTTATCATTATTAAATCAAATGACCGATGCTTCTTAATACAAGGTATTTGGTGGAGTATTCATTATATTTTTACTAATATTATTTTTACCTAAATTTATTGAGAGACTATAATGCAGATTTAAAAATTTTTATTTAAATGTAAATAAAATTTATTATTTATTATTCATTATATTAAATTAATAACGTAATTATCTTCTTCTTAATCTGGGTGCTGCGGTCAGCTTTGCAACGGGGACTAGACCAAGTATAATTGATCATTAGTCCGTGCACTGCGAGGCCATCCCCTGGTCTCTTCTTGTCTGTTGTCTGTCTCTATCTCGGTGTCTGCCTTTCTTGTCCCACCGTGCGACTTAATATAATATATATATATATATTTATATATATGTATGTATGTATGTATGTATATTGACGAAAAAACGAAAATTAAGAAGGAAATAAAAATAACAATAAAAAGGTTCTTAAAAAATAATAATAATAATAACAGTAGAAAAACGCGGCTGCTGGATTCACCGAAAACCGGAAACAGAGCGAGACACCGAAGCTGGTTCACCAAAAACACTCTGTTGATCCATCCGACCTATGGAACTGACGCCAAATAAGATTCAAAGCCTCAAAGGTTTTCTTGTAACTTTAGAGAAGCCTGTCGGAAGATTGTGCATTTTGTTGATTTGAAAATATAATTCGAGTTCGTGATTTCTACTCGAGTCCACGATCGTGTAGATTTTCAATATTGTTTGGCGAATTCTTCGGGTTTGATTCTGGGAATTGGATTGAAAAAGTAACTTGGATTTGGATGTTGGGTTGTGAATGTGGAGGTTTAAGTTGGAGGGCGTGATTTTTGTTTCTTTAGCATATTTTTGTGGATGATTTCGGTGGGAAGTAGGGATGGGAGAAAGGGGCTAGGGTTAGTCTTTGGTAGTGCTGGTGGTGGGAGGACTGAGATGGACGAGTCCGACCTTGAAGAAGGGGAAGCATGCTCATACCCGAATCATGAATTTGATAAAGGAAGCATCGATCCCGATGTTGCCCTCTCTTATATTGTAAGGATTTTTGCGTTTCTTCTCTTTGATTTTTTTTTTGGTTAATTATGGTTTCGACGCGCCAAATTGTTGGTGTTCACTTGTTACACTATCTTAGATCCAAGATTTTTGCTGTTTCCGTGGCTGGTAAAAATTAATTAATTTAGAGATGTGCAGTGCTGAATTATATGTTTTATTAAACATGTTATGTCTTCTATAAATATGTACACGTACGTATGTACGTGTATGTAAACAGAGAATGTCAAAGAAGATTACTAATTTTGTGATATCGACTTGAAGCACTAACCAAATGAAGAATTTTTTTAATTTTTTGCTTGGCCTGCCCGATTAAGTACTTATTGAAACGCTATCTGAATGGGCCTGATTGTGTGTAAACAGCTTTCCTTTTCTCTTTATCTATGCACGTAGAATCAATTTGTTCGTTTTTGGCTGTTTTTGTATGTGAACTCCTGTCTACAGTTGTAGAATTTAGTTTCTCCTTAGGCAGGTATAAATAACATCCAGTGAACACTGCAAGATTTTGGAATTGTTCTGCCAGTGTTATCCAGATTATTTATGAGAGCATGAAATGCATGTCTTACCATTTAGGGTTTGAAAGTCTTGTGAATTGAGGAAACTTCTCAATTGGAAAATTTTGCCACCAGTGAGATAATTAGTCGACCATCTCATGGTCGTTTGGTCATTGCATCATGGAATTCTACTTATTTTTGCATTATAAATGTGTTCACCTGTCTTCAACGTTGTTGATTTCTTTTTTTTTCTTTTTTTGGTAGTTGGCCCTTCTACTTCTTCTAACATTGAACTACTGGACTTTTGTTTTACCAAGGATGAAAAGATTCAAGATGTTCTGGGACACTTTCAGAAAGATTTTGAAGGTGGGGTTTCTGCAGAGAATCTGGGTAAGTTGTTGTTTGTAACCTGCTAGAATTATTTCTTCTAGGTGAAGGCTTGCCAATAAGAGTTCTTGTTTTAATGATATTCGGTAAATAACCCATTCTAATAGGGTCAAAATTTGGTGGATATGGATCGTTCTTACCTATGCATCAGCGCTCTCCTGTTTGGTCTCATCCAAGGATTACATCAAAAGTTCATGGTCAAAATACGCCCAACTGTTCAAGCAATTCACAACTGGAGGTACATTCACTCTGCCAATAAGGGGCTGACAAAAATTAATTAAATTGATTGTATATGAGGTTTTATGACCTGCCCTTGTATGATTTTTAATTTATGAGTTTTATTTTTGGATTTTGTTAAAACATATAATGTATTACAAACAGGCTGGGCAAGGGGATGCTGTACATTCTTCAACTTCAACTCATTTGTCAGGACTTGGACCAAATTCTGCTAGTTCCTTGGAGGTTCCTGCAATCAAGGCAACCTCATTAAATCATGGATTCGGCCAAGAAAATTGTCCGACAACTGCTTGTGTTGAGGCAATCACTTCTAAATATGAATCTACAAGCATGAAATCTACCAGCATGTCAGATCAGAAGACACTGAAGGTTCGAATCAAAGTGGGTACTGATAATTTGCCAGCACAGAAAAATGCTGCAATCTACAGTGGACTTGGCCTTGACGTGTCACCATCATCGTCATTGGATGACAGCCCCTCAGAAGGTGAAGGAATTTCTCATGGGCGCAAAGATGCGCCTTTTGAATCTCCATCTAGTATCCTTCAGGTGAATTATCTGCTCACAATTTGATTGTCTGTTTTCTTTGTCATATATTGCTTGAAGAGATTAGAGGTTTTATGATGGTCACTTGAAACAGATCATGACATCCCTTCCTATGCTGTTGTCTCCTCTTTCTGATGATCTTATTCATTCAATTGGAGAAGAAACAGATTCCAAAGAAGGTATACCTGATGATGCTCATATGGAGGAGTCAGAAAGTTCTGGCATGTTACTAAATGAATCTATTACTGTACGGGGTAACAGAAAATTGTTAGGAGGGAAGAAAATAAAGTCCGTGGAGGGATGTGGATCTTTGTTGGAATTTAAGGGTGGTATTAATAAAAATGGAGTTTTATCCAGGAAGGAGCAGAGAAATGATGCCTTGACTACTGACGAGCTTGTTTCAAAAGCCTTGAAGCTACCCCTTTTATCCAGTTCATTCTGTGATGACTCAGTAAAGGGAGTAGATGAACTATGTGATAAATTGAAGGAAGCTGGTGAGAGTGTGCTGAGGGAGAAAATCTTCTCTGATCATGCACAAATGGAGCAAGCAAAGCCAAAATCTACTGAAGTGAATGGTTTTATTGAAAAGGCTAAGGCTGGTTCAGGGAGAAAAGCTGTTGCAGATAAGGTTGACAGAGGTAAAACTTGTGACTCAGTGACAGTTGAATCTAGAGCGAGGACAGCTTTAAACTATGAACATACAGAGCCTCCTGAGAATGCTTTCCAGATAAGTGAACGGGATGGTATGACATTACCTGTTGTTAGAGAACCTCCGATTCCCACGGGCAAGAAGTCAAAGGTAGGTCATGGGACCATGGCTTCAGAAGGGGAAAAACAGAACTTGAGGGTCAGCAACCTATTGCCACCTAAAACAAAGAAGAGCTCTGATGATGGTGCTACATCTAAAAATGAAAACAAAGGTGTTAGGGTGCAAAAGGATCATGGAAAAGCTAGGGATGCTTACAGAGATTTTTTTGGCGAATTTGAGGAAGAGGAGGATAGATTAGATGCCTTGGAAACTCCTTGTGTTGATAAATTAAAGGACTCAGAGGTGTTTAAAAGGAAAACATCTGCAAGTATTTCTGGAGCAACAGAGAGATCAGGTGCTAATAAAGTTGTTAAGCCATTATCATCTGATGTATATCCTAGAACAGCTGCAAATCTAGTCAGGTGTAGTGCAAACAGGCATGGATCTGATGTGGATAAACGAAAAGAGGCTCCTGTGACTGCAACCCCTGTTGTCTTTGAAGATAATTGGGTACAATGTGATCGATGCCAGAAATGGCGCCTCCTTCCTGCAGGCACAAATCCTGACCACCTACCTGAAAAGTGGCTTTGTAGTATGCTTGACTGGCTGTAAGTTTCAATTGAGTTAGTACTCACATTTAAAAGATTTTTTCCTCATAGCAAAATTTCTGATGAAATTTGAGTACTGTAGTTAATATATTATCAGAGCTGCTTATGTTAATTATACTGGATAATATAACAAAATACCTAAATGCTTCCAGTCAAATCTCTAACAGTGTGCATGTAAACTTATAGGCCTGACAAGAATCGATGTAGTGTTAGTGAGGATGAAACCACTAAAGCACTCATTGCACTATACCACGGCCCAACTCCTGAAGGACAAAGCAATCCACAAAATGCATTTGGAAGTGTTGTTGGTGGAACATTATCAAATTCTCAGCACTTTGACCAACACTGGCTGGACCATAGTCTGCATGCACTGCCTGATGGGAAGGAAAAAATTGCAAAAGAGATGTCAAATGCAGCAGCTAAAGATGGATCCTTTCCGTTGTTATCTTCTGTAAAGAAAGGCTTGCATTCGTCAGTGAAAAGTAAGAATTTAAATGATGTGAACAAATCTCCTGCAGTGAATGCTCTCAATGTTCCTGTGGAGAAACACAGAACAAAACAGAAAATACTGGAGGACAATTCTGATATAGGTAGTTTGAACCAGATATTCATCATGCTTGTCATCCCAGTATTTGATATATTGACTTGCAAGATGTTGAATTTTGCTGCATAATATCTTAATTATTTGAGATGTCTTGACAGGTGAGACAAAGAATTTGAAGGTGAAAAGCAAAAGGGACCCTAATCAAAATTGTCCTCGATCATTCAAGAAAAGTAAGACTGATGGAGTGTTTTCTACAGATGAAGATTGGATTCCAGACCACGGTAGGACTGCTAGGAAGGTGGGTCATGGCGTGAATAGGATCAACACAACTTCATCATGTGAAAGGGATCAATCTAAACATAAAGATAGCTCTTCTTCAAGGGACTCAAAATACAATGGAAAAGACAGGCTACAAGTTTCTATTGAAAAAAAGAGAAAGATTAGGGAGTATCAGGATACTCAAACTTGTAGCACGGGCAATCATGTACAGGAGGGCAGGGTTTCTGTGCAAGATGGACTTGTTGCCTCTAGAAAGGAAAAGAAGGCTAGAGTATCAAAGTCTGAGGGTAGAGAGTCAAGTACTAGTAAAGGTAGTGGTAGGGCAGACAAAAAAATGAGTCAGGCAAAAAGCCAGAAGTTCAGGCAAGATCCAGGGAGCACTCTGTCTCAGCGAAGTTTGGATGGTATGGATTGTTTGAAAGGGGATTTAGATTCAGTTCAGGCCACTGCTGCTGCCATTTCTAGCTCTTCTAAGGTTTCTGGTTCACATAAAAGCAAAGCTGGCTTCCAGGAGGTGAAAGGTTCACCGGTGGAATCAGTTTCTTCATCACCTATGAGACTTTTAAATTCAGATAAGTTTATAAATAAGGGGGAAGATGACTCTCTGGATGCTGGTGCCACAGGTAGTCCAAGAAGATGTTCAGATGGTGAAGATGATGGAGGAAGTGATCGAACTGGGACAGCTAGGAAGAATAAATCTTTGACTGTGATCCATAGTAGGTCTCTTGGATCTTCCAAGCTTGATCTCCAAGATAAGGATGTTAATCATACATCAGGTACTAAATTTAACGCTCAAACTTTGTCTCCAGACATAGTAACAAGCCATTTTACAAACTGTGATGTGGACACTGTAGGTCTAAGTGGGAGCTACACTGAAAGGGAGCAAATTAAGGATCAGTGCCAAAGTGAAGATAGAACTGGCGTTTATGGTGCTAGCATGTCTCTTCCAAGGAAGACTGGCAGAGGATCATGTTTGAAAGACAACAATGAAAGCTGTAAATCAGAGCCCAAGGGAGAAAATGTCAAGAATACTAGTTCACTTGGTCAATCACAAGAGCTATCTCCTTTATCTGAGGCAAACCATGGGGATAATAAAACTAAGTTTCAGGCAAAGTTGGGGTTGAAATCTGACGAAGGTGAGGATATGCATACTGGTAAGAAAGATTGTACTGGGGATTATAGTAGGAGAAAAGAGAATCAATTAAATAGGGGGAAAGAATTTCAAGAGGTTAGTGTGGATACCATTAAACAGGAAGCATTGCTGTCCCATAGTCAGAATCAAAGTCTGGCCTTTGATGCTGAGAGATCTTCAAAGAGGTCTATGTCAGAAAGAACTGATCAAGAAATACTTGAAAAAGAGAAGTCTCTGTCAATGCCACCTTTGGGAGGACCTCAAATTGAAACAGTAGCTTATTGCCCACAGCCTTCTGCTGGTTTCCATAAAGGAAGTGGAGATTTGGTTGTTGACCCCTCCAAGGTTGATGATGCAGCAAAGCTACAAAATAAGCAAATCAGAAAGGCTGACAACCAAAATGGAACTCAGCACTTTGGCTCAAAACATCCCACACTTAATGGACACAGATCTAAGGAGCTAGGTGCACCCAGTCCAACTAGAAGGGATTCTTCCAGTCATGCGGCCAACAATGCTTTGAAAGAGGCTAAAGATCTGAAGCATTGGGCTGATCGTGTTAAGGTTCTTATACATATAGTGTCTTCTCCAGTTTGTTGTCTTTTGCTCTTCGTGGCCCTTAATTTAAAAATTTTGGTTTTATTATGCAGAATTCAGGATCCACTGAAAGCACTGGGCTTTACTTCGAGGCAGCCCTGAAGTTTCTTCATGGAGCTTCTCTATTAGAATCTGGCAATAATGATAACAATGCTAAACATAATGAGATGATTCAATCAAAGCAAGTGTACAGTAGCACAGCAAAATTGTGCGAGTAAGCATTATTTATTCTTAATCATGCTTTTAGTTTTGGCATACAATTGTTGCCTCATCTTAGCACTTTCAGCATGTAATTAGTGAGATATTTATATTGATATATAGGCCTTAGGTAGAGATTTATTGTCACAATCTCTGTAACATAGAAATATTGACATAAAAAGGGGGAGTTATTGTTACCGATGCTTGTTTTAAGTTTCTAAATTTTTTCTGTTAATGAAATTTGAACAAAAAAAATAATTGAACAGCACCAATCCATGTGAATGAAGTGCTATATTTAAGATTGAAGACGTGGGAGGAAATTAAATTATGATTTTGTAATTCAATTTTTTTTCCTTCCATATATTTTCTTTCCTCAACATAGTGAGGCATGTGAATCCAACATTTTAGTGTCCTGGAGACCTATCCACCTAGGATGCATTCTCTCATTTCCAACTGTATGTAAACTTTTTTTATTGGCCTGACAACTGTAATTAGCGCAGCTGTGATAATCGAGACATTTGGCTCTTCTTTTGCCTCATTATCCATAGTATTTATATCTTTGTTTCCTCAACGCATGCAAGCAGGTCTCAAACCAAATCCTGTTGCTTTCTCTGTAACTTTGTTAATCAATCTTTTATTGCTTTCTCTTTGTAATAGGAGTAGTAAGTTGTAATTTTTGCCATGTGAGCTTATTTTGGAACAATGCAGCTTCATAAAACATGATGTATTATGCATGACCTATCTATAGTTGATTTGCATGTAGCAAATCATAGCCTTTATTGTTGGATATTGGATCTTTTAGTGGCTTTGCATTCCTGATATTTTCCGTTCAATAGGTTTTGTGCCCATGAATATGAGAAATTAAAGGACATGGCTGCTGCTGCTCTGGCCTACAAATGCATGGAGGTAGCATATATGAGGGTGGTATATTCCTCACACTATAGTGCAAGCAGGGATCGGCAGACAGCTTCACAAATTGTTCCTATTGGTAATGACATATATGTTCTAGAAATAATTCATTTGAGCTTAAAGACTTTTTGCTATTTGTTTTTGTCGAGAGCTTGTTTTCATGCTGGTGTCCCCAGCCTTAAGCTTGTCAAGATCTTGTGGACCATGGTTTCTCCTTCTTGCTTTTGCCAATTGTTTAAGATTGCAACGAATGATGTATTTGAGTACATTCATTGCAATATGATCTCTATATTTTAACCTTGTAAGTTGTTTCATTTTTGGCAGGTGAGTCTCCTTCCTCGTCTGCCTCTGATATTGACAATGTTAACAACTCTGCTACAGCAGAAAAGTTTGCCTTACCCAAGGGTGTCAGTTCTCCCCAAGTTTCTGGTACCCTTGTCATTCCAGCCCAAAAGCATTCAAGCATTATGCGATTGCTAGATTTTGTAAGTATATATTCTTTTTTAATAGAGTTTTCCTATCATGGGATCGGAATCTTAATATGGGAGCTCCAATGATGGAGAATGCATATATATATATATATATATATAAGTTTCACTTTTGAACAACTGAAAATTTAGTCAAATAAAACGCTATCTCTTTGATAGTGCCGATGTGGAAGAGCACCATCTTGTCAATTAATTAGTTTTCATTGGCAAAAACTGCAATTCTATCTTAGCTTTTTGCTTGACTCTTTGTAGTTGTGTTTCATCAGTATGGACATAAGATCACATTAACCATTGCAGGTTCAGGATGTGAATCTTGCCATGGAAGCCTCAAGGAAATCACAAATCGCTTTTGCAGCTGCTGATTCGAGCTTAAGTGGGGAGAAGCATGCAGATGGCATCTCCTCTGTTAAGAAAGCTCTTGATTTTAACTTTCACGATGTTGAGGGGTTGCTGCGATTAGTCCGGCTTGCCACTGAGACCATTAGTCGCTGAAGATTCTAATTTGTTTTAAAGAATATTCTGGCCTAGGAAGAACATATGATTCTTGGTCATGTATGAAGCCTTTGCTTAGAAAAAGAAAGTGGCTGGATTGTATTATGAATGGTAAACTTCATTATCTTGCAAGCAGAACTTCTCTTACCATCTTGGGAGGCCAATCTATACATGCTTGCTTCGGATGACGAAATGGCAATTTCAGTGTACATTCAGGCAGATGCAGTTGCTTTTGATGTGTTCAAGGATGAATGCCATGGCAACTCTCAAGATAGTGTTGACTCTGGAGGCACAACCGCACAAGGATTCTGGAGTCAACTTCTCTAAAAGCAATTCTAAGCTGCTTTTGGCATGTGGATTGACGCGACATCAAGATTATGTTGAAGGTGGATACGGATGGACATCAGACTTTGATATTACTTGCCATTCTTTGTTCTTTTATTTGAGGAATTATCTTGTCAATCTGTAAATTTCTATCTGCTGGAGATTGGGAGTTTCTGAATTAGCATGAAACGTGTTTATCCTTCAACCTAAGGAAATTTCACTCCCACTCTTGATCCAAGCTGTCTAGAGAAACCAGAATCAGAGTGTATGTAAGCTATCCACCCAACCCCCCAAATAAAAATAATTTCATGAAGTTGTATTTGTATTTTCCTTGCTAACTTCTATTTCTCACTGGCAATTTTTTCTGATTTGAGTTTTAAATTTTATATGCAGGTTTTCTTACACATTTTTCAGGATTTAAGGGGCTATATTTCCTGTCTGCATTATTGATGGAGAAGTAACAAGTGGAAAGGAAAGAATAAATTATGAAGAATATGTGGCAGGAAATTGATTTATACGGCAAGTTGTTTTGCTGCTAATATGTCTTTAGCTTAGAGGTATTCAAGTACCCCCTAGATTTAAAAGTGCTGTTCAACCGTTGATGAATTAATTTACAAAGCATCTCTAACTCCTATGTTGCATTTCTCCTCGGTTTTCTTTTCCTGAAGGAAGCGGACTATGCATTAATATTACAAAATCAATTTTATGTGAGACAAGCAAGCTGGTGCCTCCTTTTCTGGTGTCTGACAGGTAATCATATTACCGTGTTACTGCATTATTCCCTGTCCATAGCATCCTGACTCAAGAATATTTATATCCTTGCCGCTGTTAAGTACACAAATGTTATTAAGAAAAAAGAAAGTGATTTTGTGGATAAAAATAACACTATACCCTTAAAAGAAAGTAGTTATAAGATATCAATAAGGATAGCAAGAGTATAGTAGGTAATGTATATTATGCGAATGGAATTCTTTCCCAACCTGAGTGCCAAAACAGGCCGTTATAGTTTCTTGTTCTTTGGCGGCATCTTAAAACTGCAGTGAATGGCAGTCCTTTAGAATTCTACAAGTTTTGCTGCATTTGATGCAGATATTTTTATCAAGTTGGGTAGGTATATGTTGCACGTGGCAAGAGCCTATGACCTGCGACCTAAATTAGGGTTCTTCAAATAATTTGAACGGTTGACTTTATTAGCCTTGGTAATGGGATAAAATTAATTGAAAAAAGATGTCAGCTCAATGTGGAGGATGTATTGTTTTGATTTGGCTTGCTTGTTTTTCGGTTTGAACAAACTATTTATTTGGGTGTTAGGTCATGTGAGAGAGACCTTTTTTCCTGTGAAAGTTGTTCAATGGTTTTCTCTTCAACTACATCTCCATACACTGCTACTACAATTTTTTTGTTATCAATTGCTTCTTATTTGAATAGTAGACCCCTACGTAGCATGACATGGTTGCAGTTGCAGGTTGAGCACCCGAGGCAAAAGAAAATATTCTTAGCTGGCCTCCCGCTCCGTTACTGACCCTAATGGAGATTCCTCTTTAGTCAATAACAGTACGTGGGTCTCTATACCAGTTGCAAGTATTGGGCAATGGATGTTTAGAATTCCCTACGATGATTAAATTTTGACCATCACATTGACGTTTTATTCTCTCTAATCTGGTGCAGAGCTAGGCAGCTAGCTTTGTTGATTGGCCTTGTATATTTAGATCATAAATATTGATGAAAAGAAATTGTATATATAGTCTCATAAAGTGGTGTGGAAAAACTGTTCCAAAACTAAAGCTGGTGTAGAGTTATGTGGAAAATAGAAATGATAAAAGTTCATGTAGCTCCAGCGCTAATACTTTGTAATCTCTAATTCTGGGAATGAAATAGCTGTATTCTATTACGTTGCCCCTGAATTCCATGTTATTTTGACTGGTGGCCACATTCGAGCCTGTGCTTGCGGCCCAACTTTAAACTTAATGCCTCGACGACTCACCAGTGACCCAACTTATCACCTGTGCATGGAGGAGATTGGTTGCCAATTTTCATAACCAGTTCGGGACCTTCCATATCTCACCTTATGTTCGCAGATGACCTGCTGCTGTTTGGTGACGCTTCGGAAGCTCAAGCTAGGACTATCAATTAGTGTGTGGAAGAATTCTGTTCAGCATTGGGAGAGCGTGTTAGCTTCAACAAATCCTCTATCTTTTTCTCCCCAAATGTAGATGCTGAGTTGAAGGCAAAAATTAAAGGCATTGCAGGAATGAAGATCAGCAATGAAATAGGAATATATCTGGGTTTTCCTCTGGCTACAAACAAGAGGGAAGATTCCGATACATATTTGACAGGGTTAAATCTAAACTTTCCACTGGGAAAGCAAGCTCCCTTTCTATAGCTGGAAGGATTACATTAGCAAATTCAGTGCTTAGTACCATACCCACATACCCTATGCAAGTGGCAAAAATTCCCATACACATTTGTAGCAAAGTGGAGAGATTATAGAAGAATTTCATTTGGGGTGGCAATCCTAATGGCAGACCATATCATCTAGTAAGTTGGGAGAAAATTAGTCTTCCAAAGGTTATAGTGGGTTGAGATTTAGAAGACTTTCTTCCTTCAACCGATATTGTGGAGCGAAACTTGCTTGGAGTTTAGTTAGTGGCACAAATGGCCTTTGGGCTGAAGTTTTGAACAAGAAACACATGCCACAGAATGAAGTTAATCTCCTTGATGTTAAGAAATGAGATTCAGAGCTGTGGAGGTTCATATGCTAGCAGCAAGATGTTATAGAGCAGGGTACTAAATGGCAAATCAGAAATGGACTGCAAGTTAGTTTCTTCAATGATAAATGGTTAATCGAGGAGGGAACATTAAAGGATGTTTGCCTCAGAACCTTATCTCTTGAAGAAGAGAGCATTAGTGGAGTTGATTGGACAGATTTTGGCATGTGGGATTTCATTCATCTATCCTCAATATTACCTACTGATATTATTCAGAAACTGATGTCTGTGATGCCTCCATGTGAGAATGTGGGACGCGATGTCATGACTTGGAAAGCTAATTGGAATGGGTGGTTCTCTATCAAAAGAGTTTATTTCCTTATTGAAAAATGTCCTGAAAATCTATATAACTCACTTTTCAAAGTCATCTGGAAATGGAGAGGTGCAGAGAGAATCAAAGTCTTCGTGTGGCTTGTGCATCAAAATAAGCTTCCTACAAACCAATGGAGAAGTCGTTGGAGTTCCCAATCATTTTCTGCAATTGGTGTAACAATAGTGCTAAAGATGTTCTCCACATCTTGAGAGATTGTAACTATGCAAGGAAATTATGGGATAAATTCTTGAATCCCAGGTACAATGCTCAGTTCTATTCCACTTCTTTAACTGATTAGTTTGAATTAAATTTGAAAAAGAATTTAAGTACTATTGATGATCACTGGAGCTTGATATGGGGTGCTTCAATCTAGAAACTCTGGAAATGGAGGAATTGCCATATCTTCTAACCAGATTTTGTAAAGCCCCACAACCCATGTGTTATTATAGCTTATAAATGGACATCCTTCACGTCTCATAGAGATATAGATGATGACAGGCTGCATCGGAGGTATTGGATGAAGCCACCTCATGGTTGGGTGAAGGTTAATGTAGATGGAGCAATGTCTAATATTGATAGCCGAGCAGGGTGTGGTGATGTAATCTGAGACCACAACGGCAAGTGGATAACTAGCTTCACTCATTACATTGGGGATTGTGATCTTATACAATAGAAATATGGGCTATATTCAAAGGGCTGCGATTATCTTGGGACATGGGATACACCCGTATTATTGAGTCTGATGCAAAAGAGGCGGTGGACAATCTTAACTCTGCTTCTTCATATAACACTGCAAGTTTGCTTCACCTGCAACTTCTGCCATTGCTCAACTTTGATTGGGAGGTGCAGATTATTCATGTTCCTAGGGAGGAAAATGTTATGGCTGATACGTTGGCAAAGAAGGGCCTTCAAGATTCTTCATTGTTAAATGTGGTTCCTCCTTACTTAAGAGACCAGACCTTGTTGACAAAGAGTGTTCGGAACTTCAAAAGTCCCCTTTCTTTTAATTTAATTACTGTCGGAGCCCTCTCTTGTAGCCAAAAAAAAAAACTTATCACCTGTCTTATGAGGAGGAACCGAAAAAGCGGGGGAAACATGGAGTTCAAATTTCCCCTTATAAGTTAGTTGATTATGATCTGGTGAATGCCACCTTTCGCTACTTGATTTGGGGAATCACAATAAAATTCCAATGAGATCATTTTATTTAGGTTTCAATAAATTTTCAACAAATTTTAAAATGTAAAATAATTCTCTTAAATTCTTAATAGTATTTTCATATGATGCAATCTATTCTTAATTTTAAAATTAGAGAAATGAATTGCAAATTCAACAATATAAAATTGCTCATATGGGAGACAGCTGCAAATTCAAGAAAGTGTTCAATAACATCATTCTATTTTTCAAATGTAATCATTAAGACTTGTATTTCCTATTAAAATTAAAAAAACCAATTACAAATCCAAAATAATGAAATTGCAAATTTATCTCTCAAATTTGATATTTTGCAACTCCATCCCTATATTTGCAATTTTAAATTGTTAAATCTAAGTAACTTGTTTTTTCAATTTTAATAAGGGACACAAATCACAATTAAATTTTAAAAATGTCATTAAATCATTTGACTCACTTCTAAAAATTTGTGACTTTATCTCTCAGATTTACAATTTTACCTTGTTGAATTTTGCAACATAATCCTTTTGAAACTTAAGTGTCATTCCCGCTAATTGATTTTTAACCTTCCTCAGGTTGAACTGAAATCGGTGGTCTATAGAGACTTGAGAACCACGAGATTGGAACTTCCAAGTTAACTTAGCAACCACTTGACTCCTCCTTTTGTCTTTGACCAAAAAGGAAAAAAAAAAATCGATAAGATGTCCAAATTAGTTCATGGAATGGTTTATTTATTTTTCAAAAATTATCTTTCCTTCCGTCAAATTTCTCCAATTACTGAATAAGCGCCCCCAATACACAGCCTTTGCACCGTTCCGCAACCATTAAGATTTTGCTATACTTTCTAATCCATTTCCGCCCATCCCACTTCACTTGCGGGCCTCAACACGGTAATATAAAACATTTGATACGTCAATGGCATTTATCAAGCCAGATACCTATAAGTGTTTGAATTATCTTTATCTCTTTCCAGATAGTCTCGGGTGATGAGATCTTCAATCCGCCTCTTGATTGCTTTGATATCAGGCTACAAATCCAATTTCAACGATTGCAAATAGAATTAGTATAGAAATTCATTTAGACAAATTCTAGAGAAAAATATTACTAGATATCTAATCTATGAGCAGTCATGTTATACCTTGAACATGCGGCCCAACAGCTCAACACACTCCAAAACTAATTGTTGATGCCCCAAAATTTTCCTGCTCTTCATAATGCGCACGATTGCAGCATCAATAGCATATCGCCTATCTTTGTCAACATCTTCTACTACTTTTTTTCTTTCATCAACAGGCGGGAGAGGGATCTACATCAAGCAAACGACAACCGAACTAATGAACTCCCAAATTAAGTAAAAAATTTATAATGTCTAAAAAAGAAAATAGCCAATATCCTAGACTAAAAATAATTGGATTTGAACCTTGATCCTCCTCATTCGGTCAGTAAATTTGGAGTTGAACTCAAAGTTATCATTTGGAGAGAGAGTTTTCGTGTTTGGCTCCTTAGCAAGTATCTTATATTTTGCACAAGACAAGGAATGGAGTAACCGAACCAGGTCTTCATGGGTTAAATTCAGCTGAGTCATAATATCTGAATAACTCAATCTATCTGCACTATTAAATAACAGAAGGGCAGCAGCCTGTGGAATACAGACGGCAAATAATTTCAGACAGGAAGCCATAAATCTTGTGAGCCAATGAGCCCTAGATTTCAAAATAATGGAACCAGAGGAAAGAGAATTACCTGATAAGTGGACAAGATCAACTCAATGGTTTTATGTTCGAATTTACCATTAATGTTGCAAGTTCCCAAAGAGTAAATCCATGCAAGTTTCCTTTGCTTTGTTTTTGTCTCATAAAACCCCTTGAAAACTTCCACGCACCTGACCTGAAACCAAAAATAAATCCAGTGTGTGTGCAGCACGAGTTGAAAAAAGAAATTTTCACTGGCCAGATAAAAATAACACTATAAAAATGGAAAGTTGAGATAACTACCACATCATGGAGTATCTTCTTACCATCTCTAAAGGGAGATTGAGGTCAAAAGACTTGTAACTAGGCCAAAATCCAGTGGTAAGAACAGTGACTGTTATGTCAATCCCAGGATTAACATCTGGGTCATTACGCAGATATTCTTCAAAGTTGGTTTGATTATCCCTAGCTAACGTCAAGTCTGTAACCTGAGACAGTGACAAGTAAACTCTACATCTATATACAGCTCATATTTATAACAAGACAAACAAGGCCTACTGACCATCCCCTCCATCTTTGAAGTGAACTGTCCACCACACTGCTGCTTCAGTTTGGTCAAAATACTCTTTTCATGGTCCTCATTAGAACTCCGATCAAAAAGTAGCCTTCGAGCGAGCTTTTTCCTACCAATGTGAAAGTGAAGAGAATGTTATCAAACTCTGATATAGAACCATAAAACAAGTAGAGGAACAACTAAAAAGCAAGGGAAGAAAAACGACAAACCTGTAAAACTCAGCAAACAGATCCTTATCACTGATATATGCAAGAAGCTTGACTACCTGTATTACTTGCACAAGTTCAACAAACTGAAGCACTACAGTGAAAAATATGATAATTACAACCATTCAACATCATACCTTCTCTAGAGTTTCTTCTATTGCCTCATCAC